AAAAACCTGGAATTCCATGCCCTGGAAAAAAGACAAATATTTCAAGTAAGAGGTACCTATGCCCTTAGCTAAGTTGAGGATGGACTTCAAAACGGCAACGACAAAACAACAGCAGCGCACGCTATGCGTATGTGTGGTGTTTTGCTAACAGCGATAACGTATACGACGTGACCGAAAGATAAACGTCAACGTTACATACAAGCTGCTACAAACTTACACCCCCAGATCACCACTACCAACCCCTCAGAAAAAAAACGAATATCTTGCAGGTTTTATTCTATGATTGTTTTGTTTATTTCTCTTTGTGCGGGGGAGAAGTAGAAGAGAGCTCTATATGAGGAATGTAATTGTAGTTTTGTGGCCCGCCATAAAAATATCAGCTACAAACTACAAGTATTTTTTTGTTTTCGTTTTATTTATTGCCAGTAAAATTAGTTTTGTCAACCAAACAACTACCGACCAAAGTGTGCAGTGTGTGTAACATTATTACTTCTGCCGCTGCTGCGCTGCTCTGATGGGCTCTGTCGACATCGTTTGTTATTGTTTACGTTTAAGGGGGGAAAACACGACAACGACGACGATATTAACTACAGAGAATTTTACGAAACGAAACAAATGACAACAACACTACTCCACCACACATGCCTACCACCCATCATGTTTCGTATTTAGTAATTAACTCTTTTCCCTGTGCTTCGTGTAAAAACTAGTACTCTCTCTCGGCTCATTGTTATGGCTCTCTGCCGTTACTCCCTCTCATTGGTGTTGGGGTTTTTTTTTCCCTGCCTTTGTTGATGGTTTCATGTAAACAGCCATGACACAACATCAACGGCCGCCAGCCATCCATCCCCACCAAAACACACACACACACTCCCATGCATACACCCCTCACCAAAGTAGTTGTGTAGTTGTGGTACCATAACTAAAGCTCTCTGTAACACAGAGAGACAGAGAGGGAGATAAAGTAAGCCAGAGAGCTCTGCCGCCATTATGAGTTATGTGTGTGTTCTATTGGAGGAGATGTCATTGCAGTCATTTTAACATTTTTAACTTGGGTTCTTTACCAGAAAGGAAAAGAAAAAGAACGAAAACAACAAAGGTGAGTAAGTGTGTGTGTGAGTTAATTTCACAAAGTAGTTAGGTAGAAGGCAGTTTTCTTGGTTATTTATTTTTCTTGTTGTTTCTTTTGGTGTTTTTGCCATTTAAAGAAACCCTTCTTTTTATGTGGCCCCCTCCCTCCCTCATTGGTTGTTATTTTTCTCTTGGACATAAGGCGCAAAAATCCAAGGCATAACAAAAGGAAAGAAAAAAAAAACAAAAAACCATGGCATCGCTGCCGTTGCCATTATTTGTCGTTGGTGGTGATGCATACCAAGCCAAAAAGAAGCCGAACAACCAACAGAAGAAGAAGTAGGAAAACCAGAAGAGGCAGCAGCAGAGGCAGAAAAACACGTCTTTGTTTTGCCCAAGGTAGGAACGAAAAACACGACGACTTTTTTTTCTTAAGTAGTTGGTTCAAATTGCCTCACACTCCCAAACTCACGTACTCTCTTCTGGATTTCCTTTGGAAGACCACCTAACACTCCTCTCTCATCCTTGCCATAGCCTCTATTTGCTCCTCATCAACACTACTCAACAAATTATACCAGCCAGCCAGCCGATATGTATTTTAGTTGCTTGTCATCGTCATCATCTTCTGCTTCTTCGCAAATGAAAACACCAACCGAGCTCTGTAGTTGTTTGGCGGCGACGGCGGCAATTTTGTTTAGTTAGTGGCTTTACATTTTGTTGCTGATTTCTACACATAAGGTGGGAGAGGAAATGGGGGATGGGGTATAATAGTACATGTGTGTGTGTGTGTGTGCCTGTTTGTATGCCATAGCTTATTGTTATTATTATTTCACTTGAAATTGTTTGCCGCTGCTGTTGTTTCTGCTGCTGTGCCTGCCAATGTTTGCTTAGTTTTGTGCCATTTTCATCGGTTTCGGTTTTGAAGTTCGTTTGCAAAATGGGAATCCAAGCTGGCTGCCTCGCTGACATGTCGCTGTTGTTGTAGCTGCTGACAGCCCCACTATTTTCAGTCTTTGTTGATTGTTAGACATTAACTGATGTTCTCGAGTTCTTAAGCCAAAACTGGCATTAATTCTCAACTTGGCATTTCAGCGCGGACTTGGAAATAAGAAAAAGCCTTCCTGGAGTAAAATAAATGCAGTCTTTTCTTCAAGTGCAGAATTTTTCTATTGCAGTGTTTTATTTAAAAAAAAATATTCCTTTGATTGTTGGATTTTTTTTCTGATTTTCTGGGTCGCTCAGTATTTTTCCACTCAGCATTGATAGAGACTCGACGTTCGTTGCCGTCATCCGTGCATCCATCAATGGCCGTTTTTTATTCGATTTCATTTAACTAAACAATTTAGTAGCGTCTACAACACATATTTTATTGATTTTTATAAACAAAGCGGCAAGTAGAATAAATAGAGAGGCCTAAATTTTAGCAAAAAAATTTATATTGTTTAAAATTTAACAAGTTCTGGAAAGATATATTTCTTAAGGCATTAGAGATATATTTTATGAAAATAAAAACAAGTTAAAAAGTATCGGTCGGTTTTTTCAACAGATGTATACTCTCAGCCAATGTTCGATTATTTAAATATATTTTGGCTTCTGTTGTGATTATTCAAATTTTTGACCCTCTATGGAGTGGGTTTCGAAGGAATGGACCCATATTGTCCATTTCGTATCGGACCTTAAAAAATATGATATAATTTCTAGAAAATGTCAAATGAGGTACCAGATATAATCGACCGAAGTATTCCGTTTTAATACTTCGTCTAATAAATCGCAAAATGACAGATAAAATTATTGAAAATTGTGACCCTTTGTGGGTGGGATACCAGAAGGCGTTGGCAGATAGGTATCATCTTCACAACCGATATTGTGTTAGCAAAAATGTTTGTATGTGTGAGATTTGAAGAGAGTTGGATGCTTATTTCGCTTTCTTCGAGCGTTTTGTTTTTCAAAATATTAAACCCAATGTGAGATGGTACCAGAAGGAATGGTCCGATCTCTACCATCTTTAAAACATATCGTATGTTGATGGAATAATGAGATGAGATGCACCAAGTCTGAATGGAATCATATGTTGATTTCGCGTTTTATGAGCTTCATTGATATTCAGAACTTTTACCCTTTTGTGGGGGAGGTACTGTTAGTGGACCGATACATCTCATCTTCATAGCAGATCTTGTGTTAGTAGAAATAATAAGATGTTCGAATAAAGAGAACGGAATGCTTATTCCGCATTCAATAATCGTTTTGGGTTATTCAAAACTTTGACCCTTTGTGGGGGAGGTACCAGAAGGAATAATCCGATATTTACCATCTTAAAAATAGATCTTGTCTTGACGGAAATATTGAGATTTACCAAGTCTGAAAGGAATCGGATGATAATTTCGCGATTTATGAGCTTCATGGATATTCACAATTTTGACCCGTTGTGCGGGAGGTACCGGAAGGAGTGTACCGATATGTTCCTTCTCCACAGCAAATCTTGTGTTAGTAGAAATAATGGGATATGTGAAATTTGAAGAGAGTCAGATGCTTATTTCGGATTTTATAATCGATTTGGTTATTCAAAACGTCGACCCTTTGTGGGGGAGGTACCAGAAGAAATGGCCCGATCTCTACAATCTTTATAACAGGTCTTATGTTGATGGAAATATTGAGATGTGCCAAGTCTGAATGGAATCGGATGTTAATTTCTTGTTTTATAAGCTTCATGAATATTCAAATTATTGACCCTTTGTGAGGGAGGTACCAGAAGGATTGGTCCCATGTATCCCTTCTATACAGCAGATCTTGTGTTAGTAGAAATAATAGGATATGTGAAATTTGAAGAGAGTCGAATGCTTATTTCGGGTTTTTTAATCGTTTTGTTATTTAAAACGCTGACCCTTTGTGGGCGAAGTACCAGAAGGAGTGGACCGATATATCCCATCTTCACAACAGATCTTGTGTTAGTATAAATAATGGAATGCCTGAAATATGAAGAGCTCCGGATGCTTATTTCGGATTTTGTAATCGATTTGGTTATTCAAAATTTTTACCCTTTGTGGGAGGAGGTACCAGAAGGAGTGGACCGATATATATACCATCTTCACACCAGACCTTGGGTTAATAAAAATATTGCGGTGTGTGAAATATGAAGATAATCGGACTGTTATTTCACGTTTTATAAGAGTCATAATAATTCAAAATGTTGACCCTTTATGGGGGAGGTACTCGATGGAGTGTACCGATATTGTCCTTTTTCGCACCTAACTTTGCACTGACGCAAATATTAGGATTTGTAATGATGAAACAAAATCGGAATATCCTTTTTCTTTTTGTGCAGTAAAATATATTTTTTTTTGACAATTCTACCTTTTTTTGGGGGAATTACGAGAAGTAATGGACCGATATTGCCCATCTCCGTACTCGATCTATGTTTCATTATAATATTACGATGTACCAAGTTTGTACCAAATAGGATACACACTTTGAGAGTTATCGTGTGCACCAGCCAGACATCGCTAGATCGACTCCAAATGTGCTAAAATGGAATTGGTCCAAAGAGACCTAGTGTTTCATTTTTTTCCTTTGTTATGGAAAAATCTTCCTATAGCTTCTAAAATATCACCCTTTACATCTATTTTATTTAAAGGTCCCAAAAAAGGTTTTGAAAGAAAAAAAGTTTGTAGGTCCATGAAAAATTCATGCCAGATACACTTAAAAATTTGACTTAAGTTTTTCTTTAAATCTACGATTTTGCCTAATTTTAAATTTTGTATTTAAATTAAAAAAAGGGAATTTTAATATTTCTTGAGAGCAGGTTGCATATCTTATGGAAAATATCTATCCAAATAAATTTTTTACTCATGATTATGATTATTGCTCTAATTACTCTACATAACCTATTAACGTAAATTTTGAAAAATCGATCGATAGGGTTTAATACTTACATTATTATAACTCAAATTTTCCCAAATTCAATTCTTAACAACATTTCGCATCGAAAACATTTTTATAGCCAGCCGCGTCTACGTTATCACGCCGTACATTTTCAAGTAAGGTACGCAAACTTTACGTTACGATTACACGATTAATGAAATTGCGACGATCTATTGGCGCGAGCGTTTTTCGAGCAGCTTTATACCGTATCGAAAAGCTAGCTAGACGCGTACCGTACCGTAACAAATCGAACGTTTTTTTTGCTTCGATTCACGTCCGTTGTGGCTAGAGGTAGGCGTAACGGGGACAATTCGTTAATCCTTGGGGCATCGTGGAGAGAGAGAGCTGAAAATGGAAAACCAAATATGACATTTTATGAGGATTTTCAATATAAGAATAAAATATGTATTATAAAATATAATGCACTAAAAACGTTTGTAATTTATGCAAGAGAAAAAGAAAACATTTATAAATAATAATAATAATAATATATATATATTTAACGACTTCAATTTTAAACTGTAAATATTTGTGAAATCGGTTAGAGAATGTATGCCACAAGGTGAACCTACATATTCTGCTTCAGAGGTTGTTATCTAACGTGAGTTTCAAAAATGAAACTTGAAACAACTCCGGTTATAGGAAAACGTGGAACTATACCAAATATTTATTGAGAGGTGGTAATCTCACATATAGATCTCGAAATATCAAATAATAGATGATTTGGTTGGAAATTAAAATAAAAATCTTCAAAATGCCAAGAATCAGGAGTTACCGTTATAAGAGTGCTATGCCTAACCCATGGACCGATATAGCCCAATTTCAATACCAAACATCTTAGGAGTAACACGATTTCTTTAAAATATTTTCAACGACTCATTGGCTGAGAATGGAATGGATTTTTGTAACAAGGGGTTCGCAAACAATAGTCGGAATTTTTGTGGATAAAAAATACGATTATGTCTTCAATTACACGAAATTTCTTATACCCTCAGCTGTGGTATATATCATTTAATAAAGCCAAATCGTGCCTAATCGAAAGAACGATTTTAGGACCAGGTCTTTTAGCACGAATTCTTTTTCAGAATATTTAGAGTCGATAACTCCCAAAGGTAGTATCTGATTTCGTGCAAACTTAGTACATCGTACAAACTTAGTACATCGTACAAAAAGGTGTACCTTCCCATAAGGGCTCGAAGGTCTAAAATAATTAAAACTGTCATATCTTACGAACCAATTCAAAGATTTTCTTCAACCATCCACCTCCTAAATATTCATATCAAACATAGATTTAATGTAATTATGGGACATGTCGGGATTTTAAAAATGGTCTCATATAGACATGGCAAAACAACAGAGGTAATCTCATTTGCTAACGGCAAAGTCCGTTAATTTAAGTAGCAAAGGCTCACATAAAACAAATTTTTTAACCCTTGAATAATTGGTAATGAAAAAGAAAAAGAGAGAGTATAAATGACAGGAATATACAAGATATTTAAAGAAAATACAAAATATATAGCATAAATTTGGAGGTACTAAACTGCTAATTTAAAGGATAAAATGTACAATTATAACTTAATTGGGGTCGAGGCGTAGCTCAAATTAAAGATATTGGAAAATATCGGGGAGTATGCGCTTGGTTTGTGTCTTTGCTACGTCTATTTTATTTTTTATTCATCTGAAGTCCGCTTCCTGTTCTAGAGTTGGAATTTCCGCAGAAATCAGGAAACTAAAAATACAGGTATCTCTACAGTTGAATTTCAAAATCGGAAAATATAACAAAAATGAGAAAATTTTGACAACATGAACGAAAGAAAAAAAAGAAACATGTATAAGCGCTGCTCAAAAACAAAACCTCGCTCACCAGTCAAATTTCTCTTTGTTTTTTTTTCTTTTAAAACAATCAAAAATCCAGTGTTTATATATAATTTATACATTTTTTGTAAAAAATCGCATTATTAATAATTTTGGAAAAATAGATTTTTTTCTCTTAAATAATCTCTTTTTTGGACTCATGTACTAGCACACGATTTTGAACAGTGCTGGTATAACCCACAAGTCCAGTAAATGAGAATGAGTGAAGGGAGTACTTTTTACACAAGGGGACATAAAATAAAAAAAAAGTACTCGTGTTTTTGCATGATATTACCTTTTTAATTCTACCATGGATTATATCTTAATTAAAAAAGATTTTGACTTTTCAAAATGACTCGAAAATTGCAAAGCATTAATTTTGCATGTTTCCGAGTTTTCAGAAAAAAAGTAGAATAGCACTTAAGTTCTGCCGGGCCGAACTTTGAATACCCTCCACCATTTCGAAGGAAAATGAAATTTTTCAAAAAATAACACGGTTATATGAGGATCACACGAAGACTTGGACCTGCATACGATTTTTTTTTTTGTCATAGACTGTAGTACGAACTTTAAATACGAAATTTTAAACGATTCCGATGAATGATACTGCTGAAATCATCGAAATACCGAATACCGGGAGCTACCATTATATGGGGGCTACACGAAGACGTGGACCTGCATACCTGTAGGGTCTATTATAAATATTTCGAGGAGTTACAAACGGAATGATAAAGTTAATATACCCTCCATAGGAGGCCATAAAAACTCATTTTGCAAAAACTAGAAAAATAAGGTAAATGTAAGAAATGTTTTACCATTTTTAATGGTCAAAACCTAAAATGTTTACGAATTTTTAAACTGCCTTTTAATAAATAAGTAGATTTTTATATGTTTTCTTTTACGGTGCGAATCGGTGGTTTTTATAACATACATTTTTCAATAATTTTCACAAATCTCAATATTTTTTTCATTCAAAATTTTCCTACCTATACCGGCCATAAGTTTTCATAGATATTATGAAAAGGTTTGATTATTATTATTTTTCTTATTTTTTTTTAGTATTTTTATTAAATTTTAGGGTATTCCCACATTGACTTGTAGACTTTTTTTAAATTGAAAATCCTTAAGTAAATGACAAAATTATTTTTTATATTTTTTACGTCTGAAAAAAATATTCTTTTTAAGTCTTTCTTTAAAACACCCACCTTCTGCAGAAGTAAGATATTTCCACACTAGAAAAATTTATTTTCCAATATTTCCGATTCCAATTGGATTTTCCTCCTTCTCCTGCTTGTTGTTGTTGCAAAATGCACTTGTAATTTCCACTTTACAATAATTATTATTTTTTATATATTTTATTTCCTTTAATAATTATTTTTCATTACACTGCTTTGCAATTTAATTATTTTCTCTCTTTTCTTTGAGATGCACTTTTCCTTAGATATAAATTTTTTGCTTGTAGATAAAATTTTGCATTTCTTTTTCGCTTTTCGCAAATTCTCTTTTTGCTATTTCCTTTTCCAATAAAAAATAAATTTTCAAGCAGCAATTTAATTATTTTCTTTAGCAATTTATTTTTATTTTTTCTATTCTCATCAGCACTCACACAGAATGATTTTGGAAATTATTGGCAAAATTTTCTTCTTTTTTTCACTCTCTTGTGGGGGATAAATTCAATATTGATTTTTATTTAAATTTTAATTTTTCGATTTTTTTTTGGCTTCACAAGAAACTTATGTTTTTTATTTTTATTTAATTTTTGTGTAATTAATTTTGCTTAATTTTCTTTTGTCGGTATCGTGGTGTGTGGTAATTTGTTTATTTTATTTATATTTTTTGCTCTTTAAATTGTTTTAATTATACATCTTTTTTTTATTTTACTTTATTTTTAATTTTTTTTTCAATTATTTTTTTTTACTTTTTTACTGCTGCGGCTGCTGATGCTTCTTCTGCATTTTTGCTGCTGTTATTTTTCTTATTGTAGTTGTAGGTAGGTTTTCTGCTGCTGCTGCTGCGGCGGATGATGTATTTTTTTCTGCTATAGCTGGTTGCTGTTGTTGTTGTTGCTGTTATTATCATTATTTGTATGGATGTATGTATGCATGTATGTACAATATACTAGTATAGTCGCACAACGAACGACCGACGAACAACCAACAACTAAAGACCGTTTATTATTGTTGTTGTATATTTTTTGTATTTTCTTTTTTCTTGATTTTAATTTTTCCCATTCTTTCTTTCATTTCATTTTTGTGTGTGTGTTTTTTTCTTTTCTTCTTCCTCTTTTGCTTTTGTATTGTATTTTTTTCTTCTTTTTTTTGTTGTGTTGGAGGCAAAAACGTAGAACAACGCGCGTAACGTAACCGCCTTTAACGATGCATATTCATCGCTGTGTACTCAATGACTGATTTTCTTCTAAATTCATCAACACTCAGCACAAAATCGTATCTGTCGCAGTGCGGTGAGAGAGCCAGCATTGGATGAGAGAAAAAGAGAGCCACATCAACGAATACAAAAACGACGGCGCGAAATTTTTAAAAACACAACATTCAGATACGTGAGTACCGTTGAGAGTGTCGGAGATACATTTCGCTGTTTGTTTACCTATTTCGTTCTCTGCACACAATACGGCTAATGTCGAGGGTTTTAAAAAGCGCCAAAATGGAAAAAGACGTTTTCTTCAAGAATTTTGAACAGGGGCTTAATTCTTGAACTTTGAAAATTCCAAATTATCAATTTTATGAAGAAAAATAATGTCAAATGAAAAGTTTTGTAAAGAAAATATTTTGAATTTTATTTTTTTTGCCACTCTATAAACAGTGAGAAATATTTTGCTAGTTTGTTTCTTTTTATACCCTTCACCATAGTATGGAGGGTATATTAAGTTTGTCATTCCGTTTGTAACACCTTGAAATATACATTTTAGACCCACGAAGTATATATATTCTTGATCAGCGTAAAATTCTATGTCGATTTAGCGATGTCCGTCCGTCTATCCGTCTGTGGAAATCACTGTAGCTTCCGAACGAAATCAATAAAATGTCATTCATATATTGTGTCTGCAGGACTTTGAAAATGGGCCATGTAGGTCCACGTATTGGTATAGCCCCCATATAAAGGCACCTCCCGATATTCGGTATTTTGGTAATTTAAGCGACATTATTCAGCGGAAATGTTTGAAATTTGGTATTTGGAGTTCAAAATGGGTACTACAGCCTATGACAGGAACGTGTCCATGCAGGTCGACGCCTTCATATAGTCCCCATATTCGGTATTTTGATGATTTTAGCTACATTATTCACTGAAATTTTTTCAAATTTGTTATTTGAAGTTCTTAATAGATACTACAGCATAAGACAGAAATTTGTCTGTGCAGATCCAAGTCTTCGTATAGCCCCCATATAATGGTACCTCTCAATATTCGGTATTTTGATGACTTTAGCTACATTATTCACCGATTTTTTTCAAAGTTTCGCGTTTGAATGTTCTAAAGGCTTATGACAAAAGTTGCCACGTCGTCGTATAGACCCTTATATAACGTCTACATTAGGTATTTTTAAAAATTTTAACAGAATTTGTAACCGATTTTATTTTTTTTATTTATTTATTTATTTTTTTTTTTTTTTTTGAAAATTGCCAAATTCGTTCCAAATGGTGGAGGGTATTCAAACATCGCCCTGGCCAAACTTACAGCTTTTTAACTTGTTTATTTCAATTTCAAAATTGGTTTGATAGTTTATTGTCCAAGAAGCCGTGTCGATGCGACTACCTGTGCTCTTCTTTATTCCTTCTATACATCTCTGTCGAGGACTACACCAGAACAAGCCGTGGTTTAGAACAGCAGTATTGGCTCTTGATTTATCAAAGGCGTTTGATACAGTCAATTACTCCACACTGTTCGAGGACTACATTACCCATGAAATGATTGATAATCAACTATGTGTGTGGACGCCAGTCGAATGGGGATTTCCGGAACAAAAAGTCCAAACCCCATAGAGAAAAAGGGTGTTCCACGAACAGCGATATCTCCATTAGAGTAACCCTCCGGAATTCGATGGCCTCCACATGACATTGAGATCGTTATTAATGATGATTGTGCATTCATGGCGTCGGGTCTTTTCGTCACTCACGTATGTCTTAGGTTAAACATTTATCTCGAGGAGCTTTCTGCTCTCTTCCATGCTAAGAATATGAAAATATCAGCAGCATCGATCTTTTCCACATCAACTGTGGATATAAGAACACATCTGAATGTGTAGGTTCGGGGACATCACATTGGGCGCTGATAAGGATACCTTGTTTAAAATGTACTGACTCAAGAAGACCTCTGGTTACAGCCCATAATATTTTTGAACCTGGAGTTGGAACCAGGTTACCAAAATCCGAACATAACATGTGAAACTGTTACAACTCAGAAGAGCAGCTGGTAATTCCAACATATCTTTTTATAATTCCATGATTATTTCCAGAGAGTAGAAATTTGAGAAACCTTACTTCTCCGCCTACAATACAAATCACTGTTACCCTTGTTTCTTTTAAAGAAGATAATACATATTCTTTTAAATCTGCAGGTTAAAAACTTTCCACTTTTTTCTAATACTTAGTCCTCATTCTCTTTAAATGACAAGAAAGGACCCCAGTTCATTTTCCAATTTTTCTTGCAAAGAACTCTGACGTTACGTAGTCCACTAACTCTATTCATAGAGAGACTACAATATGTTATCAACTCACAGTGAATGAATCGTGTAATCATTGGTTTGTTTTGATTATTTCTTTTGTCTATCAATTGACTGTGGATGTTAGTGAGGTCCCCCCTCAAGATTTTCTATGACAAACTCCAACAAGAACAGCAGAAACAAACATTAAATTCGTGGCATCTGCTCCAACAAAGCAAAAACAAGTGCTGCATCACAGAAAACCCAAATAGAAGATAAGAGAGATCATCACCCGCATAAAGCCATAGGCCACAAGCAGGCGGCAACCCAAGCAACGCACAATGGCAAATCTCAAAGATGATTTGGATCAATATCTGCTGTTGCAGAGTGAACAAAAGAAAAAATTCAAAGTGCCACAACTGAAAGTACCCGATAAGTTTGGAAAAATATTTCGAAATGCTGAACCGGAGGCCAACAGTTGGTTAAAGGACACGCAGGATAGCTGCTGCCCGAAATTGGTAAGTATTAATAGAAATTGAAATTGAAAATTGATTGTATTTATCTCTTCTTCACCCCCACCGATTAGTCACGCTTACAACGTATTGTCGGCTTTGTTGCTTGCCTGGGCATGGGCACACTGTGCATAACAATATCCCTGTTCTACATTCCTGTACTGCTGCTGAAGACGCGCAAATTCTCGCTGCTTTATACACTGGGTAGCTTATTTTTTATTTTGAGTTTTTGTTTCCTTTCCGGCTTTTTGGCCTTTTTCAAGACGCTCTTCACGAAACAAAGAGCCTTGGTGTCGTCGACATATTTTAGTTGCATGTTTGCCACACTCTACTGTGCCCTGTGGCTACAAAGCACTGCCCTCACCGTACTCTTTGCCTTGGCCCAGATGATTGCACTGGCTTTTATGGTTGTGGGCACGGTACCGGGCGGTGCAACCGGCATGAAATTCTTTGGTTCCTTATTTAAGAGTAGCGTAAGTTCGTCAACAAGTTCGAGTGCTTTGCCGGTTTAAGAGACCAACCTAGTTTTGAGGTAGCTATTTTTTTTTTTTGTATATAGTTTATAGTGATCGACACTGCAGATATTCTCATAATTATTTTTTTTCCTAAACGAAAGCGAAATTATAATAAGATTTATGCGATTTATATACCTACACACTCTACATACATGTGGCATGTAACATAAATAAAGAAATTAAAAAAAGAATGAAACAAGAAGAATCTTAAACAAGCTGCCAAATGATGTCGTGCACTTTTATTTCACCCTAGGATAATTTCCGGAAATCGTATGACGGTAACTGGCCTTGAATAGAAAATATGGATTTTCAGGAAAAACAGTTGCAAAATTCTCAAGGACTATACAAGTTATGACAGATTTTCTAGGAAAAGAATCGTGGATATACAAAATTGTCTTTAAAGTGAATATCTCAAGGACCATCAGAGTCTAATTTGTGGACTTTATGACTATCCAAGTTTTAGTCGAAGACTTTTAAAAGAGAAATTCTCAAGGACTATTTGAGTTATACAGGCATGTCACAGAATGTAAAATCGTTCAAGAGTGAAAACGAAAACGGATTTAGCTTCTCTAAAAAACGGAAAACGCAAAAATTTTGCGTTTTGATATCACTTTCAAAAAGCAGGGTGAAATTGAAATGTTTAGTGATTTTAACGTAAAAAATAAACAGAAGACACATACATTTAACAGAAAATATTGTATTAACCAAATTCTCTTAGAATGAACATGTTTTTGGAATTTATTTTACAAAAAATCTATTATTTTTCTAATCCATGATGAAAATGCAAAAAAATATGCAGAAATGAACGGCAGACTTGTATTGTTGAATTATTGCCATGTTTGAAGAAGAAGGTGTAGAAATGTAAAACTGACAGACCAAAAAGCAAGAAAGGGGAAAAACAAAAAAAACAATTAATTGTTTGGTTTGAGACATTCTAACGTGAGTTCCGTCAATGCATCCTACAATTCCTGGAATTTCATAATTTTCAAAAAAGTACAATTTCGACTTTCTTTTTTCTTCGGAAGACATTCTAAATTTGATCCAATGTGGACAAATTTCAGCTTCAATTGCATTAATAACTCTCCACATAATTGTAGAAACTGTACTTCTCCCAAGGCTTAGCTCCACATCTCTACCTATAACTCCTTGAAATGCACCCGTAGCCATAGCCGGTATATTGGAACGTTTGAGGTGGGGAGAAATTTTTTCCAAAACTAAAACAAAAGCTTCTTTATTTAGCAGATAATAAGTTATAAATCTGTATAAATAAATTATTATTAAAATAAATTTGAAAATAACTCATTGCTGGTGGATCCTTACTCTGCATTTGAGTGAGATAAAGGATCTGATGCGTTCCTCAATGTCCGGCGACGAATTTTTTCAGTAGACCGCTGAGTTATTTCTTCATCCATTACAGCAAGTATTGAAGCCCCTGGCATTTTTACTTTTGGTGTTTATATTATAAAAAACAATTTAAACTCCTTTTTTAATTGTCAATAATTTGTTTACGACCATTTTTTCATGGAGTTACCATATTTTTATTTAAAAAATGTGAAATGATTTTTTTTCCGGATTAGTCAAAACGTACGAGTGCTGAGGAAGCAAAAGCAAATCGTAACGATTTGGAAAAGGTGAAATAAATCGATTTCGTAAAACTTCTGTGACATGCCTGATAATCAACGATTCAATCTTAAGGACTATTAGTGTCTTAAGACTATTAGTCTTAAGGACTATTAGAACAATTTAAGGACCATAAGAGTTATAATTGCGGATTTTTACTAAAAATGTGATATTGGGAATATGAAGAAAGAAAGCCTAAATTGGTTCACTAAGAAATTGTTAATTTTTTCAAGAGAAAAATCTTAGGGGCGATCCTAGCTATAATTCCATGCATCATCAGAAGCATCCAGAGGTTGTGCATAATGGATAATATTTTTTTATGAAAAAATTCTTTTGGACTACCAAAGTTATAGTCGTAGGCTTTTAAAAGAGAAGTTCTCAAGGACTATTCAATCTCAAGGGCTATTACTTTTTTTGCTATTATTTAAGGGTTATCAGAGTTAAAATTGGAAATTTTTAGTAAAAATGTAAAAATCTTAAACATATTTTTAAATCTAAAAAAAATCATAGGGGCAATCCGAGCTATAAACCCATAATCCGCCTTCGTGGAGCATAGTTGTTTGATATCAGTTGCGCCCACAGGATGGTGGAAAGCCAGTAGATATATTGGGTAGAAGCGAATTGAAAAAAAGCAATGGCAGGCAGTCAGCTGGTCTGGATGGAGTCTCGGCTTGAATACCCGAGTATCAATGATGCTTAGAATGACGAGGCGATGTTTTGGTGTCCTCTAAAATAGTCAAACTTCTGTGCTGGTCCCTACATAAAGAGGACCCTTCTAATGCTGGGGTGTTATGGGACCACATGTCCATTAATTTTACAGCTTTGCAGTTAGGATATTGGGTGTATACTAGGGGAGCTTCGTTGATACCTTGGCTCCTTAAAGAAGGCGAACGAATATTGTTGTTACACATGGTTTGTTTGATATCCGCTAATCCGTTTTAAAATCCATGTTCAAAAATTCATTTGGCAGGTTAATTAAAGAGGTGCAGTGTATTATCTGGGCCTGTATTACATGCCGGGCTCAACGAATATTAAGGTTTAGTCAGTCCCTTCCCAAAACAAAGACATATGGAAGACAAATTATAATAAATTGTCAAGGCCTCAAAAATGACAACGACTTTGGGAAATACCTTTTCATCTGGAAAGGTGGTATCAAAGGAAAACAAGCAGACCAATAAAAGCTCTCCTTTCTATCCGTTAGTAGGTCTGATCTAATAATCGTGGTATGCACACTAACTGACCACTACAGTATCACATATCTGAAGTCAAAAATGTATAACAGTGTTCCTCACTGCTGTAGACTATGTGAAGATTAAAAAGAGGTAGAGACGACAGAACACCCACCATGCAGATTTCCAAACAAGAGATAAACGATATTTTGCAGGCGGGAGATAGAAATTCTGACTTTTGTTTGTCAAAGTTTTTCTCAACTTTATTTATCCCATGATGAATACAATAGACCAAAAGTCTCCGAGTGAATCCCGTGTAGCTACACATCCTTAAACCAAATCATAAGAGAAAGATACTTGCATTTTTTTAAAGAGAGAATATAGATGACCGCCTGGTTTTTAATCGTGTTCTTTTAAAAAGAAAAAAAGCCAAGGACTATCCAATTTGTAATCATGGATTTGTAATAGAACTATCATAGGTGTTTCAAAGCTATAATTGTAGATCTTTAAAAAGAAAATAATTTTAAGGACTAACAGAACTATAATCCTGGATTTTATTCGAGAAAATTGACAAGATTAGCAGAGCTTGAATTGGTAGATTTTACGAGAAAAAATTCTCAAGGTTTTAAGAAGGTCCAACAAACACAACGTGTGTTTAGCGACGAAGCTCATTTTTGGTTCAATGGCTAAGTAATAAAGCAGAAGTAATTTCTATATAAAAAAGTGATCACAAATACTAGCTAAATAATAGCTAAAAACGCCGAAAACTCAATATTTAAGGAGTTATGGCCATTTTAAAATATTCAATAATTCATGCCTAAAAAAGTGATCACAAATAATAGCTAAAAACGCCGAAAACTCAATATTTAAGGAGTTATGGCCATTTTAAAATATTCAATAATTCATGCCTAAAAAAGTGATCACAAATAATAGCTAAAAACCCCGAAAACTCAATATTCAAGGAGTTATGGCCATTTTAAAATATTCAATAATTCATGCCTAAAAAAGTGATCACAAATAATACCTAAAAACGCCGAAAACTCAATATTTAAGGAGTTATGCCCATTTTAAATATTCAATAATTCATGCCTAAAAAAGTGATCACAAATAATAGCTAAAAACGCCGAAAACTCGATATTTAAGGAGTTATGGCCATTTTGAAATATTCAATAATTCCTACTTAAAAAAGTATAATAATTAAGGAGTTATGGCCATTTTAAAATATTCAATAATTCCTACTTAAAAAAGTGATCACAAATAATAGCTAAAAACGCCGAAAACTCAATATTTAAGAATAGCCAAAAACGCCGAAAACTCAATATTTAAGGGGTTATGACCATTTTAAAATATTCAATAATTCATGCCTAAAAAAGTGATCACAAATAATAGCTAAAAACGCCGAAAACTCAATATTTAAGGGGTTATGGCCATTTTAAAATATTCAATAATTCATGCCTAAAAAAGTGATCACAAATAATAGCTAAAAACGCCGAAAACTCAATATTTAAGGAGTTATGGCCATTTTAAAATATTCAATAATTCATGCCTAAAAAAGTGATCACAAATAATAGCTAAAAACGCCGAAAACTCAATATTTAAGGAGTTATGGCCATTTTAAAATATTCAATAATTCATGCCTAAATAAGTGATCATAAATAATAGCTAAAAACGCCGAAAGCTCAATATTTAAGGAGTTATGGCCATTTTAAAATATTCAATAAATCATGCCTAAAAAAGTGATCACAAATAATAGCTAAAAACGCCGAAAGCTCAATATTTAAGGAGTTATGGCCATTTTAAAATATTCAATAATTCCTACTTAAAAAAGTGATCACATATAATAGCTAAAAACGCCGAAAACTCAATATTTAAGGAGTTATGGTCATTTTAAAATATTCAATAATTCATGCCTAAAAAAGTGATCACAAAGTGATCAATAATTCCTACTTAAAAAAGTGATCACAAATAATAGCTTAAAACGCCGAAAACTCAATATTTATGGAGTTATGGTCATTTTAAAATATTCAATAATTCATGCCTAAAAAAGTGATCACAAAGTGATCAATAATTCCTACTTAAAAAAGTGATCACAAGTAATAGCTAAAAAACGCCGAAAACTCAATATTTAAGGAGTTATGGCCATTCTAAAATATTCAATAATTCCTACTTAAAAAGTGATCACAAATAATAGCTAAAAACGCCGAAAACTCAATATTTAAGGAGTTATGGCCATTTTAATTATTCATGCCTAAAAAAGTGATCACAAATAATAGCTAAAAACGCCGAAAACTCAATATTTAAGGAGTTATGGCCATTTTAAAATATTCAATAATTCCTACTTAAAAAGTGATCACAAATAATAGCTAAAAACACCGAAAACTCAATATTTAAGGAGTTATGGCCATTTTAAAATATTCAATAATTCATGCCTAAAAAAG